GCTGTGCTGACGGCCTGGCAGGGCCCACCCTCCACGCAGGAGAATGGAAAGCTCACCAAGACCCAGCTGCTGCGGGTGGCATCCAGATGTCTGCCCAAAGCCTCTGCCCAAAGTACCAGGGGCCGATATTTCAGAGGCGTTGAATCTGGAGTTTGTGACTGACTCAGGATCCAATGATGGGACTAAGGGTGTGAATGCTACGCCTGCCCTGGGGCGAGTAGCCCGCACACAGGCAGGGACAGAGAGAGGCCTCTGCTCCCCCTCCTGCCCTTCTGTCCCCTGCCCTCCCTTCACCCCCTCCCTCCCCCTCCCCTTTTTTTCTCTTTCTCCCCCACTGCTTCAGCTATCTTTCCCTGAAGAAGCCAGGATGTTTCAGTGTTCATAGCAATTCAAACCGTGCCTTATATAAAGTGGGTAACCTGAAGTTCATCAGTGAACATTAAAAAATTCATGAATGTGTATAGACTCAGCATATGATACAGTTAGTAAAACAATACTATCTTTTCAAGTGTATATCTCCTCTTCATTCTACCTACAAAATAGTCTGGAAGCAGCAAACAGCATGGCCGGATTCCACTACGAGGTGGCGGGAGGCCACACTGCGAAGAGACCTCCCGACTGAGCCCCGCTCCCGTCCCCACCGCGGCCCGCACGCCCTCAGCCCCTCCGTCATCTTGAGAGGAGATGCACGGCCGGATTTACTTCCCGGCTGACCTCCCATTCTGAAGGTATTCTGCCCAAGTCGGACTGAGACCTGTGTCCACGCTCAGCTGCGGACAGCTGTACCTACAGGACAGGACACGTCTCAGCGACTCTTCCAGGCAGACAGGGTGGTCTGCAGGAGCTGGCCCTGCTCACCAAAGCCGATGGGCAGCGAGATCTTCCAGGTGCAGTCCAGGTTGTTGGGGTAGGAGCCGGGGAAGCCGGGGCTCAGGATCACGCCCCCAGGGTCGGTCAGCGTCCCTCCGCAGGTGGCTGTAGGGCACAACAGCCGTGAGTCCGGTGGGGCCACCTGTTCCCGAAAGCTGTGACCTGTCACCTCCACCCAGCCCACTAGGGAGGTCGGCCTCAGAACCCCCACCCTCGTAGACCCCACACCCAGTCACAAGCAGGCTCAGCTTGCCCACCTCACTGTGAGCTGCGGGCAACACAGCAAGCTTCTCAGAGTTCGCCTCCCTCCTGTGCTCAGCTCTGCAGTGACAGTTTGTGTAGCTGCTCAGTTTGAGGCAGGAGCCATACTGACCTGGCTTGGGGGCCACTCTCTGTGGAGGGCGTCAGAGGTTACAGCGTGGAAATCCCACGTCTAAGGAAATGCGCACCATGGCAAAGCAAGCTAAAGGCCCAAGCCTGTCAGGGCTCCTGACTACCCTCCACTGCTTCCTCCAGCACAAAGCCGGGGTTCTCAGCCTCGACACAGAGAATGTCAGCGGTGAGGTGACATGCTGAGCAGGACACTCATTTTTAGCAAAAAAATGTTTCACCAAATAAAGTACTGGCCCCTTATAAATAAATATGACACAATGGCACAACTAGACGGTGCTTTCTGGACAAAGACCAAATGGCTAAAGTTTGTCTGCTTTGCAGGGTTGGCATAGGCTGTTCTCCTCAGGACAAATCCCAGTGAAGGGGGCTACACTGGATACGGGTGAGAAGCATTTGCTCTCTGAGACGTGGGGAGTCAGCCGTTGGAGGCCAGGAATCCCCTTCCTTCGCCTGAGGGGGCAGTGCACACTGCTGTGGTCCCCAGCTCCTGCGTCCCGTTAGGCCTTGTGTTCTAGGTGTCCCCCAAAGCCTCATTTGGTCCCAGGACTTCTGCAGAGGTGGATGAACCTAGCGTGCGTGGGTGGGTAGGCGAGAGGTGGGTGACTGCTGGAACAGTCCTCAGCCGCCCGAACACCTGTAGGCTGTACCAAGGCAGGGCCGCAGGAGGCCGCGCTCCCCCTCACCATTGCTCCTGCTGCTTTTGCTGTTTTCTGGCTCCATGAACTGCTGCCCCCTACCTTGTGCCACCCCACCTCGGAGTCAGCTGATTAGGGGCTGACACCTCCACAAACTGCGAGCTAGATAAACCTTTCCTTCTTTAACTTTGGGTGCCAGGTATTTTGTCTCAACAACAAGAGAGAAAAATGTAACTGGGAATCCCCTAAAGTCGCTTGTGCTCAGGGATGGGGAAGAGCCCATGGAAGGCCTGGGTCACCTTCTACATCCTGGCTGCCTCAGGTTGCGAACTGCCCTCTGCCTTCCCCCTGCCACCCAGTCCTGGTCTGAGCATGGCCTCCAGAACCCTGAGCCCAGGGGAAGGGATGGAACACCTTTCACTGTAAGATAGGGTCTTGGCTGTCACTCCTGTGCTGCCCTGTGGGAATGAGAATTCTCCAGTGCCCCCATGTTCCTGTCCGCCCTGTCCCTGGGGTGGTGGCCGTCCCCTGTGTGGTGCTGGCTGAGTGTAGTGTGGTGATGTGAGGTGTGGTGACCACTGTCCCTGGGGTGGTGGCCGTCCCCTGTGTGGTGCTGGCTGAGTGTAGTGTGGTGATGTGAGGTGTGGTGACCACTGTCCCTGGGGTGGTGGCCGTCCCCTGTGTGGTGCTGGCTGAGTGTAGTGTGGTGATGTGAGGTGTGGTGACCACTGTCCCTGGGGTGGTGGCCACCTGATGTGGGTAGGGTTGGCAGCGTGGGGCCAACCTGGCCTGCAGGTGGGGTTGAGCGTGTGGGGCCGGGTGTGGAGGCTGACCGGGGCATTTTCCTCCAAAGCATAAACGACGCTGGGGCCCCAGTGCTGTCTCAATGTAAGTTACGCAAAGGTCAAAAGACACACAAAGCTGTGTGCTAAACAAAACGAGAACACTTTAAATGAAGACAGTGCTTTCCGCCACAGCTCAGCTAACAGGCTCCAGAAAACACTTGCAGGAGATCACAAGCAGAGGGAGGGGGTTTGTGAAAGGGAGGTGGCGGCTGCCCTCAGGGCCAGGTGGCCAGAAGGCCGGCCAAGGCGAGCAGCTGCAGCCAGGACCACTCTGCTGGGTGTGCGCAGCCATGGGGTCAGGAGAGCCAGGAAAACACCTGTGGAATCAGTCAGGACTCAGGGTGTGTGGGCTTGGGGTGTGTGCGCTCAGGGTGTGGGGCTGGGCGCTGGAGGCTGCCAGAGCTGCTCCTCCCCTCCTTGAGCCTAACCTGGCCTGCAGATGCAGGCTCTGTCTGCTGGCTGTGTTGGGCGAGGACCCGACCCTGGATCTGCTGCCTGTAGACAGACCCCAAGGTGCTGGGGAGGCGGGGCTGCTGCTGCAGGGTGTGGGGGTACTACC